TATAAAGGCTATAGAATACTCATATGAGATTAAAGATAAAGATTTTATAGCTAAACAAATGGGAGATGCAATTATGGAGGTTGGGCTCTTAAATGTTGTGCAAATTGTGATTGATAAAGCACATATATGTAAGGCAGCAAGTTTAATGATTGAGGCTGATTTTTCTTCTTTTATTGGACTCCTTGTGTTGTACACACTCTTAGTAAACCCCAACAAAGGTGCCTGTTGGAAAGATAAGAGTGCCATCCTTATTCCGATAGGGAAGAAAGGGTTTCTTTATACTCTTAGGGCATTCAACATAAGCTTCAATGTACCCAAACATGCTATCTAATGGAATGGTATCTAAATCAGAATGCCAGACCGGTATACCCCCAGGCATTGGGAATTCCTTCATAACAAAAGGATAGAGAGAGTTAACATCCTAAATCTTGTTTTGAAAAGTATATGTGCAGCTAAGAATACATAAAAAAACAATGTTGCTTATCAAGAATGTTCTTGGATCACTATAGTAGCGGAAGATGTTGTGTTCATAAAAAACTTTATCATGGGTCATACTATGAGTTTGTCCAATTTCAATTCATTCAACTTATTGAAATTGCTTTTGGTTACTCCAACAAAATTTGCCTCTGCTATAGTAATGTTTAAGAGATTTAAGCAATTGAAGAAAGGACTCCAAGAGATGGTTATTAGTGATGAATAGTCTTCTTACAAGAAAGATGATGTTGAAAAAACTAAATTTGTGAAAGATACATTATTGGATGATGTTTGGTGGGATAAGGTTGATTATATACTATCTTTCATCAGTCCCATTTATGATGTTCTTAGAAAAACGGATACGGAAGTTTCATCTCTCTATTTAGGGTATGAAATATGGGACTCAATGATTAAAAAGGTAAGGAAAGTCATATATTGATATGAAAGAAAAGCAGAAAGTGAAGAATCAAGCTTTTATAATGTTGTGCACTCAATATTAATTGAACTTTGGACAAAAAGTAGCACACCTCTCCATTGTTTAGCTCATTCTTTAAATCCAAGGTAATAAATTATATTTCTAAATAATATTTTCAATAATTAAAATTTTTAGTTAAATTTCTATAAGTTATTATAACCACTTTTTTATATTGTAGATATTATAGTTATGAATGGCTAAGTGAAGATTCTAATAAAGTCCTCCACATCAAGATATAGAACTGACTTGTGAAAGAATGAAATGTTTCAAAAGATACTTTGTTGATATGGATGTGAGGAAACAAGTGAATATAGAGTTTGCAAACTTTTTAGACGGGAGAGAAGGTTTTGATGACATTGATTCTTTAAGTGATAGGGGTAAGATGGATGCAAAATCTTGGTGGCTTGTTCATGGTGCTAATGCTCCAATACTTCAAAAGGTTTCCCTTAAACTACTTGGACAAACATGTTTTTCTTCATTTTATGAAAGAAATTAAAGCACTTACTTTTTTATTCATTCTATGAAGAGAAACAAGACGACACCACATAGGATAGAAGATTTAGTATTTGTTCATAATAACCTCCGTCTTCTTTCAAGAAATTCTCTACAATATGATCAAGAGGAAACAAAAATGTGAAACATAGCAGGAGATGCATTTGGATCACTAGATGAGAGTGAAATGTTTGAAGTTGCTAGTTCACTTGATGAATTGGAATTAGAGGTTGTGTTTTTCAATGATGATGATCAAGGAGGTCACAATCCCTAAGAGATTTGATTCATCTTCTTATTTTGAGACTTTCTTTTTGTAAAGAGATAAAGTTTTTACATTGTGAAATGATGCTGCTTAGTGTTTTTTGTTAGGGTATCATATGAAAATTGTAAAGTCTAACAACTTTATCTTAGAGAGGATGAATGAACAAATCTTAATTTTTAATATAAATTTTTTATGTTAATTATATTTAATTTTTATATATATTTATTATAAGCGGTGTCTCGGCGTCTTATATTTTAGACATTAGCCATGTTCCGGTGTCCGTGTCGTGTCATGTGTCCATGTTGAGTCAGTGCTTCATAGCTAAAAACCAAATACAAAATAAAAATCTTACCTTGTAGGCACAGAAAAAATGAGTATAGGACTAAACAAAATTCACGAGCCTCAGAGATAAGAACACGAGTGATGATTAATCACACGCCCAAAAATAATGATTCATTGTTAGGAACATAGGATTAGGGTTAAATACTAAAACACGTCCTCACTTAGATCTCTAAGTTCTTATTTGAGTCTGGTTTTGCCATTGCTGAAACCCACTCTTAATGGTAATGTTAATGAGATTGTTGAGTTTTAACCATGTGACGTTGTTTTGCTCATGCTTTGGGAGTTTAGTACAAATTTTGGGTAATGAGGTGCATACATTACCTTTATTTTTCTTTCTTGAGGCCCTTTCTCTAATCAATGTGTTGTTGCATGGACACGGGTATGGAATAGGATGATGTTGTTGTGGCCCCTTCATTAGCATTGTTGTTGCATGAAGTGTCCCTCATCCTTGATGTCTCTTGATTTCACGCTATCTTTTACTTCAAAAATTACAACTAAAACAAGTGTATATACTATATATAGGACAAATTAAGATTACAATTTTCAACAAAAGAAAAACGAAATCACACTTGCTTTAAAAAAATAAAATTGAACATTCATGCATAAATAGGGAAAGGGTCATAACTTAGTTGAAAGGATGTAAGTTGTATAATATTCAGAAAATAAAATGTAAATTTCTAATCACATTAATTATTCTCATTATAAACTATAAAACAATAATTTTATATGCTATGAAGTTGTACTTGTCAATCATAAATTATCTATTAATAAATAAGTATAATTTTGAAGAAAAAAATGTTATTTCAAATACTTTTTAAATATTTATTTAAAGATATTAATTATAACACATACTAAAAATTTAAAGTATTAACTTTAAAAGGTCAGAGAACTTAAATAATTTCACGAAAATAACTTCTATACTACTTATAATTTTATCATTTTTTATCTATTATTTTTATAATAAAAAATTTATTTGGCTCGATTCTAATCCTAACCTTAACTCATGTAAGTAATGGTGAAAAAGCCCTCTAAGCCAAGGTTTGGTTAGGGCTTTATATGCCACAAAAATTAATTTATTTTTAAAGAATCTAAATATAAAAAAATTTGATATAGATTGTAATAATTATTAGAGTATTTATTAAAAATATTTATTTTATATAATATTTCTATTATATACTTGTAAATCAATAAAATTGCTTAAAAATAAATTAAAATATATATAATATTAAATATTTATAATGATTGTTTTTAAATAATATTAATAAAAATATATTTATTTATTGTTAAATGACTTTGCATATTTCTCTAATTTTTATCTATATTATTCATAATTATTAAATAATTATAATGATTTTTATATAATTTTATAAATAATTTTTAAAATATTATTTGAATATTAACTATAATTTTTTTCATATTATCAATTTTTTATATTATTATTTTTCTTAATTTACTTTTATAAAATTATAAAAAGTATTAAAGATTTTAGTTTATTTTTATGAAGATCATATTTTATTTGTTACATCTTATATATAATAAATAAAGTTACAGTAAACACATAAAATTCAAAAAAAAAAATGACAGTGACAAAATTTGTTAATAAGTTAAATGTAAGTTATTATGTTAAAAAAAATAAAAATAAATATTCTCATCATAAAAATTATAAAATATAATACTTTATATTACAAGATTCATGGATGTGGAAAAGTAACATGTGGACATAGTAAAAATTAATGTATGTTTGCAAATTTAACTTTTGACACATATGAATTTAATATAATTTATATTTAAATTAAAAAACTTCTGTTTTCAAATTTTTATCTTAATAAAAAATTTGTTATAAAATTTAATATAAAATTTTAAATTCAATGCAATATTATATATATAATTTTATTTACTTCATTAATTTATTATTTTAAATCAACAAATATACATAAAATTGTTTACACTATAATATTAATATAATATAGAAAAATATTACTAATACGATAAATTAAAATATATTTATATATTACATATAAATTAAAAAATTAACTAATAATTTAATTTTTTATTTATACTTTTATTTGTTGATTTATATAAATATTTACTAATTATTAAATTTCAAATACATATTAATAACTATATTTTTAATAAAAAATCTATCTATATTTATAGATCTATATAAAATTCATAAAAAAATAATTATTTTTGATTTTATATATTTATATTAAAAGTAAATACCATGTATAAACCTAAACTATAATAAATCCATAATTATTAAAAGTTATTAAAGAATATCAAAATATATTAAAATTGATTAAATTTATTAAAAAAATTATTAAATAGTATTTTATTATTTAATTATTGTTTAGTTTAAAATATTTATTACTAATTTTTAATTAAAATAATAAATTATCAACTTACTATATTAAATTTAATTAAAAAAATAAACAAATACAAAAATTAAATTAAATTAAATTTTATAATATTTTTTAATGTAACTATATTTAATATTATTTTTATGATAAAATTTTAATATATTAAATCAATAATTTTTTTATTTTTAAAAATTTTTATATTTAAAAAATAATTTTTAATTTATTTAAATAAAATAATTTAATAAATATTATAAATAAATAAATAATATAATAGTTATTAATTATTTTTTAAAATAAATGAGACCTCACCCATTATTTTCTTTATATTGAAACCTGCTGGCAAGATAAACCCACTATCTATTAGGACTTCACAAAAATGAGACTATATAAAGAGATAAGTGAGGTAAGACTTTCAGCTTTAACTCATTTCAACAGCTAGTAGTAAAAAAGATTTCATTGGAAGTATACAATTTATTAAAATTTCAGCTAATGGTCAATTCTGACACCAGATGCTGCCCTTAAAATTTATTAGACCCTCTTGAAACATTATTTGCTTTAATTATATATATAAATAACAAAGAATGAAATATGATCGTAATGTACAATATCTCCAAATCCTGTTTGCATCGGCATTATTTCTGTCCAAAGGAGCCCTTAGCGGACTAAAAATTAAGAGAAGGGACCTGTTTCTGAGAGCGCTCAAGCAAGATTGACAGTGAAAGAAACGTAAGGGTGGGCGTCAGCATCGCCTGCTAGGCCAGCTAGCCCAGCACCTACTTCATCCTCCATCTTCCAGTATCCACTGCACGCAAATATTAAGGTACAATATGAGTATGTAAAATAGTCACATATTAAAAGGCAAAAAGTAAGATACATTAAACAAACAAGCACTGTCTGTGTGTACAGAAATATTTGAGGAAGGCAAGTTCAGCAAAAGCATGATACAGGGTCAGAAGTCCCCGAATTGAATTTTTGAGCAGAGGTAATCAGAATATACAACACATTTAATAAGGAATAAATCTTGACAGTTAAATCAGTAATAAGAGTAGTTAAAGATTTCAAGTTATGTAACTTTAAGATAGACATGTGGCCTCCAAATGATCTTTTAATGAAATCATGAACCATTTAAAGCCACACAACTTGATATTTTAATCTTAACTATTCATATCAACATTGATCAAAATCCACTCCTCTTATTCCTCGCATAAGACTCGCATAAGATTGACTTTCTCAACAGAATCACTCATACCCTGCCTCATGTACACACAGAGAGACTCACTAAGACAATGGAAAAGAAATTGCCATTCTTTGTCCCATAATTAGAACGATGAAATATCTAATTCATTAGGAAACTCAAGGTTTTCTACCATCTCAATCAATTATTTTCCCCTTTTTTATATATATCTAGAGAATCCAGAGATAATAGGAGTTTGAGATTTTCAAATAACTATCTACAAAGAGACTATTATTGGGTTATGTCATTTTGAGTTAGAATTGTATACAATAAGTAAAGCACATACAAATTTATGTTCTGTATCCTACAAGTCTTTCATCTAGCTGTAAAGACTAAAGAGTGTCAACATCAATGAAAAACACCTAATGAAAAACACCAAATATATTCTCTTTTCCTTAACGTAAAAGTGTGAAACCTGTTTGGAGTTTTAAGTTTTTTAAAGAATTATAAAAATAGGTTGGATGAAACTTGCAGGTGAAGTATGAAGTATTATACATGGTACATTTGCTTTATTAATAAGCCACTTGCCTGTTTATGCTATCACTCAACCCTTCAAGGATAGAACGTACTTTCTTCTCAGATTTTACAGAAGGAGCTAAAACACATGCCTGGAATCAACACAAGACCCAATGGTCAGTAATAAATATTTCAAAAAAGGGAGGCACAGGTGATAAGACTGAACTTTGATTTTAGAAGGGCATATATTACCAAGAAAGACGGGGGCAAACCATATCGCAGAATGCTCTCAGCAAACAAACGCACAGCACAAAAGTGCATCCAGGAACTGAAAACCTTCAGAAAAATATGAAGTAAAAAGTAAAGAGCAAGATTGCAAGAAGAATCATGGTATTTTAGGATAATAAGGCAAGAATAAGTGTTAAGTGATAAAGGGTGAGAAAATTAAAATTTTAAGGGCAATAAATGCTACTAAATTTTATCATAGAAACTAAGTACCACTCTGCAATGCCAGTCTCAGATAGGCTAGTCTAGAAACAGACATAATGTTAAAAGAAATCCAGCTTGAAAATTGTCAGCTATAACTAAACATAATTGTTTCTATAATCTCATTGGTTTTCTAACACTACCAGTAAATTCATCCTTATAATATTATAAGGTATTTCTATAAATTAAATGAAGTAATACATAAATGAATAATACCTCTCCATAACTGGTGTAGCACCATTGCAACAGAGAAGCCCTCAAACTTTCCTGATCTTGCATCAATTTATCTAATTCCTGCTTTCGGCTCTCGTGTGTTTCGGGATTGTATTCAAAGTCACGAATCTGAAAACAATGACATAAAATTCCATTAAACACCTTTCATCAGTTCATGAATTGATACTAACTCACACGTGGCATTAGATGCCTTGTGCATTACTCCATCCCACAACTTTCCATTAAAATGTTCCAGGATTAAAATCCTAGAAAGAATACAAATATTACTAATATTAACAAACTAAAGACAATATATGCACATTAAGAAAAATACTTACTTGGAACCCTTTTTCACGTGCACTAGTTCTAAAATTATCCGCAACACGACTGAAGAGTGTTACAGTATAAAGAGCATATTCGTTATCCTCATACAACTTCTTAGATGACCTGGGGACCTAAAATAATTATCCTAATCATAATCAGAATTATTCAATAGGGTCAAAAACATTAAACTATTTAAATGAATTACAGGGACTGTGCATTTTTCAATTAAGATCCATAGACAATTCCTATGTAAGAATTCAAATTTGGGTGAATGTGGTATTTCTTACCACATAGCTTGTCAATGTTTCGTAGCTTGAGAGCCAATCCTTCTGTGAATACTTGGAAACAATGGCAAGGAGGGTAGTTAAATGTTCTGAAATTATAATGTCCTCAGGTTTTACCAAATTGGAAAGATCACGAACTGCTAAGCTGAAATAGTCAAGTAGATCAGCTAAGAAATAGAATACAATATAATTGAAAACTACATCAGTCATAAACAACATCCATACACCTTCCAGTTTGCTTTCGGTTGATAGCATTAAGCTGACCACGGACATTGTTATACTCAGAAACACGAACCTGGCATGAAAAGACAGTTTCAAGTGGCAAACAGTAAATTTAATCTACAACGTGCAAAATAAACAGAGATGTTGTTCCTTAGTATATTCCTCAGAAAACAGAACAATTCAAAATTGCGGGCAAGGAAAAACAATTTTAGTGGTATCTCGCATTCATGGCTAAGGTGGATCATAATAAATTGTCATGTAACTTAAGGAAGTCTAATGAAGTCCTTCAAAAGTGAGAGACCAAGCTGAAACTAATATCACAGATGAGGATCAAAACAGTAAAATCCATAGGATAAAGTGGCCCATGGTATTTGCAAATTGGGACCCACAAAACAAAAAAGCATCCCTCTTTATCTTCTTCTGGCTGAATTTATTAATGAGTGTTCTGCATAATCTTGGACAAACTAAGGTCCACTAACTATAAGTCGCACAAAATATAAAGGGGTCTCTAACCCTAATAGAGCCATCAAGGAGCATGATAGCATGAGAACAAGGTCCATCCTTCTATGACTCTGCAAGGTATAACAGAGAGAAGTTGCATCTTTTTTGTTTTATATGACGATGAACCATCATCATAAGTGTGATCTTATTCCATTTTCTCATATCATATGACTACAAAACCATTCTTAGATTAAGTTCAACTATTGCCAAACTGATCTCCATTGATAATTTGATATTGTAACTACAGAGGTCACCCAATCAGATGTCAAAATTGAAGTCAAAATCCTATTAGCATATTCATCTAAACAGAACATACAACTGATTCAAATGCTTGAATTTGGCCCATCTAAAAGTGTGGGTTCACTTTGGGAAGAAAAGTGAGGAATCTCAAGTATGAATGATAAAATAATAGGGATAGATTCTAACAAATCTATAATTTGTTAAGAATGTCCATTTATTTTATCCAAATCATATCAATTGTTGACTCATCAATGATTCAGAACCCTCACTTTTCCTTCTAATGTGAACCCCTCCAAATTCAATTTAGACGGGTTAAATTTGCTCTGTTTCAACATCAATTTTAAATTTAAGGATGTAGCATCTATCCTCCCCTCCCCTCAAGCCCAAAAACAAATAAGTAGAAGAAAAAAACAAGTCTCCACTGACTGAATTATCAATTCCACATCACTTAATTACAAGCTTGCAAAAGACACACTATTAACTAACATATACGCGGGCATCGATCACAAAGCCTAACTAACGAAAAAGTAAATGATTTGCACTAGGACATGCTAGTTAATATTGTGCCACTATTAAAGGAATGATTTAGTTGGCATCTCACAATAAAGGAACAATATAGCACTACAGAGGCAAGGAAGGACAAAAAAGTTATCAATCACATGCTACAACAACTCATCTCCTAATTCCTAAATCTAACAGACAGCTGCAACAACAAAGTGACAAGAAAAAGAAAGAAAACCTTGAGATCATCCTCAATCTTTGCGACTTGACTATGAATACCATCCACGATCTCCTTCAAAGGCGACATTGTCGGGTACTTAGCTTCATCCCAAACAAACCTAGATCCACCAAAGAAACAAAAAACAAACGCGACTCAAACAACAACATACACAGATCACAGATTCGAAACGTTGAACGAAAACGGAACCTGGTCAAGTAGGAATCAACAGGCACTCCATCCACGGTGAGACCGCCGCTCTCCACGCCTGAAACTCTCTCAAGTTCCTCAATCTGACGCCGGATTTTGTGAGTCACTCCTTCGACGAAGTTGTTGGACTGCACGCATTGTCAGCCTCGCAATTCAATGACAGAGAAAAAGAAGGTAAATGGAGAAGCAGAAGAAGAGATTGGTGAGAAATCACCTTGGCGAGGTCGTCGCTGAGAGAGAGGAGAGAGTCTAGGGTTCCAACGCGGAGGTTGGGGATGTTGAACTGCGATATCAGAGATGAGGGAGCGAATTGAGAAACAGAAGAAATGAGAGAGAGAGAGAGAGAGAGGGAGAGAGAAAGAGAGAGGTTACTCTGTAGAGAGGAGTGTCGAAGGAATGGTTGGAGATTTGTTGCTGCAATTGGTTCCATAGAGTGGATGCAGAGTTGTGGACGGGAAGAGACACTGCCCAGTACCTGCTCGCCATTCTCTTGCTCTTCCTGCTTCAGATCACAGTCCAAGCTAAACAAATACCAAATCCCAGAGTTGGGATACCATGTTACCATTACCAAACACCCTTTTTACTATTTAATTACTCTTTTTTTTTTTTTACTAAACAAATTAAATAGTCTTCTGATTTTTTTTTTGAAAGTTAATATTTTTTCTTCAATTAAAAAAATTAAAGGTTAATATATATATATATATATATATATTAATTCTTATAATCAATATTCGTTTATAAATTATTTTTATATTTAAAAATTTATATTTTAATTTGTATGAATTTTTTTATTATAGTTTAATTACTTATGTTATAAAATTGTTAACAAAGTATCAAACATAATAAAATACTCATATTAGAATTAAAGTATTATTTTTTAAACATTGAGATTAATTTATAAAAAATAAATTATCGTATTAGTTTTTAAGATAATGAATATTAAATAATTTGATCATTAAATTTTTTAAATAAATATGTTAATCTTCAATTTTATTAAATGTTTAATATTTTAGTATAATTAATAATTTTTATCGTAACATTATTAACTTTTATTGTTAAGTAAAACTCAAAATGTCAAAATGACTTTATTTCACGTGGGGATTAATTTGATTGATATTCATCAGTACTACTAAATTATTTCTCTTTTATTGCCATTGTGTCATTGTTGTCATCGCCTAAAATTTCCTTTTCTTCTTACCCACAAACCTAGAGACTAACTTGTTTGTCACCATCTCTCCCTTCTTTCACCCTTCCATTTGTCACCTCTTTTAAAGCCCTCTTCCCCTTTTCTTCTTCCAGCAACATTATTTTCCCTTTATTGTAGTTCATGAAATTCACAAAACATGTTTGCATCATTGACATTGTCCTTTACTCCTTCTACTCTCAAATTCTCCCTTTTTGTTGTGTTATGGTAACAGTAATAACAATACTAAGTTTTATGGGGTGATGATAACGACAATGAGATTAAGATTGTGGAAGGGATGAAAAATAACTAAATTAAAAAATGAAGGGAAGGAGTTTTGGGTGATGACAACAATAGTGGAGGAAAAGAAAAAGAACACAATTCAAGTGATGTACAATGGTTAAATTAGTCTTAAAAATTATATAAAATAACATCATTTTAGTATGTTAAGGGTCATTTAACTACAAATGTCAATACAATTATGAAAAGAACTATTAATTGAGTTAAAATGCTTAATGGTTGACAAAATCAAAGATTAACAAACTCATTTTTAAAATTTAAGAATCAAATTACCTTACTTCTACAATTTCAAAAACTATTTTAAAGTTTTGCTCAATTTATAAATAAGTTTTAAATTATAAAAACTACAATGTATTTTAATCAAAATTATTAAAACAATATTATAAAAATACTATACTTTGTTGAACAAATACTTGTATTATAATTTAATCTTGTTTTTTTAAATAAAGACAAAAAAAAGAGGTTTGAATATTCATTTCCATGGTGGCCATGCAATGAAATAAAACAGAAACAAGAGAAAAAGAATTGCAAAGAGGGGTGCAATGACGAAAAGAATGGATTTGACAACACAAGAAAAATTTCAACTGATAACCATATCAAGCAGTCAAGTAATCGAAGCGTGAAAAGTGAATTGCATTGATTAGAAGTATATGAATTTAAAAAATAACACAGCATTGTTAATTGAAAGAGAAATATAACCGAAACTTACTAGCGGAACACACTAGAAGAGTTAATTGACTAATACTCTCCTCTTAGTTATTGTAGAGTTTTACTATAGCAAGATTTTATTAGAGTTTCCTCTTATCGTATTATTCGTGTGTAGTTTTGTGCCGTAACCCGCCGTGTTCACAAAAAAGAAAGTATTTTATGATTGAAAAGAGGGATAAATTAATGTATTTTTCGTAAATTTTGTATGGGCTATACGTGTAATAAATATATCATATGAAAGAAAATTCGAATATGAATTAAGGGGTAGAGTTGAGTATTTGTAAATTATTTAATATTGGCTTAATAAATTTTTAATTAAGTTTATTTGTTTAGCTAAATAAGTAACTTCAAATTTAGAGTTTAACTTCATTATTTATGAGACAAACTTAAATTTTATAAACTTAGCTCTCATATAATACCTAAAAATTAAAATCTTATTTATTATCATCTTGTACATAACATTTGTCTAGTTTTAATTTTTATGAGTAATATTTTAAATGCGCAACATATAAAATTTTCATCGTTAAAGATACAATTTCTAATCTTAAGTCTTTTTTATGAATAAAAAAATATTAATTATTATTTTATTTTACTTTTTTGACATTAAAGTGTCTTTGAAATACTACGTTTATAAACATAGGTTTATTTTTTTTTAAATTTGATAAATAAAAAAATTAATAAACCTAAATCCAAATTATATTAAACTAGGCTCTAACTTTATATTTGATTTGTTTAAATCAATGTGATTGGGTCTTTTTTATCAGCTTAGCCCAAAGTTTAAGTATCTTAGTATGAATGTATTTATAATTAGACACAGTATGATTTAATAAAAAAAGCATAAATATAAATTACACTGTTTTCATTATGATAAATTATAATTACAACATAAACAAATTATTTAATATCTTATAATTTCATAGTAAAGAAAAAGATATATTTTAACCTATTTTAGCTTTTAAATCTTTTACTCACTTTTGCATTTTCAAATATTAATCGCTCTCATTTGAACATAAATTAAAGTAACAAAAAAAAGTGTCGTCAATTCTTTTTAAAGTTGAAATATTTTTTACTAAGTAAAGTTAGCCAATATTTTTCATGTAACTTTATATTGAACGGTTACTATTGGTAGTTCTTCTAAATCCTTTTCTATTTATAGTTATAATAAAAGTATCATCATTGTCTAGGTATGTATTTAGAAAATATTTAATATCAACCTTAAAGAATGATTTTAAACAATTTAAAGTGATTAAATTTTATTAAAAAATTATTTATTGCATAAAAATATAAAATTTTAATAATTAAGTCTTTTTAAAGAATAATTTATTATTTTTAATACTTCACATCAATTTTAAAGACTAATATAAACAAAATTAAAATTATTTAATCGATTTATTATATATTGTATTGTTTTGTTTCTTGAAAGGATGAACTGAGAATTTCACTAATGTTATTAAACTAAAGAAGTTCTTGCATATTGTGGAATCTCAATTATTATTATAAGTATGGTTTTACAAATCAGATTGGATCAACTAGTTTCACCAGTTGTAACGAAAACCGGCGAGGTAGCAATCCAAAATACTTAGAAAATTGATAGAGCAAAAAACTAGTCAAGAATCGATCAAGTCGATGAAGAACCAGTTATGAACTAATACTAGTATATTGATCTGAACTGTTTTTCTTTTAAAAATTATTCTTTTATTTTTTATATTTTTTAATGCTATTTTTTAAAAAAATATATAAAGGTTTATATATGATATATGTCTGTATGGATTGATATTACACAACTATTTATTATGAATTTTTATATTATAAAACATTTAATATGATTATTTTATATTAATTTATCATACAATATTAAAAATTATGAGCTTGGAAGTGAGGTTATCAAAGGGTTATAGAAGGAGGCTTTTGGTGAAGATGTTAGCTAGTTGGTGATGAGATGGAACAATGTAGTGCAGATATTTCCTTTATGAATTTTGTCTTAGACAAAGGCGCAATATTTCCACATGTTTGGTGTGTTCATGAAATAATAAATTATTGACAATGTGCAGTGATGCTTGATCATTACAGTGCAACTAAGTTGGATGTTGTGAAATTCCTAATTCAATGAGAAGGACTTGAAGACTGGTGATTTAACTGACAGTATTAGCCATGGCATGGTATTTGACTTCGGCAGATGAGTGAAAGACAATAGATTGTTTCTTTGTTTACCATGAAAGAGGACAGGTGCAAGGGAAGGTACAATAGCCAGCAGTAGAGTGTTGTGTGGTGGTGCATAAGGCCTAATTGACATCACAGTAAGCATGCAGTTGTAGGGAGTTGTGAGCAAATAATAGAATGCCTCGGTCTAAAGCATTTTTTATGTATCACACAATGTGAAGAGATGTTTGCCAATGAGGTTGATGTGGTGAGGACATAAATTGAGATACGAGGTTTACAACATGGGTAATATCCGAGTGAGTGACCCTTAAATAAAGTAGGCGGCCGACAAGGCACCTATAGGTAATGGGCTCTCACAGTGTGTCACCAATGTCTATGCTAAGGTGATGGTTGGTGTCCATGAATGTGGAGATGGGTTTGCATGTAAGAAGCCTATTATTGGAGAGAATTTCAAATGTGTATTTTCACTGATTGTAAAATGACGTTTGAGACATCAAGTTGATGAGTCTGCCAACCTTTTGCAGCAACACTAAAGACGTAACGTACAATTGCTATTTAGTGACAAGAGCAAAAACATCTGTGAAGTCAAAATTTTCTTGTTCGGAGTATCCTTTGGCAACTAAACACCATGCAATTGTACCATCATGATTATACTTGATTGAATAAAGTCATTTGCATCCAATAGCCTTTGCGCCTAAAGGTAAGGTAGCCAAAGTCCAAGTTTGGTTTGTTTCAATGGCCTTTATCTTTCATACATTGCCTTTATCTAGTGTGAGTTTTTACAAGCAACAGTGAAAGAGGATGGTTCAACCTCCTTGATGACATTGTTAATGAAATGGAGATGGGTGGGTGAGTAGGAAGAATGAAGAAAGGAATAAAGAGGATATTGTGTACTTGTAGACGAATTGGTGGATTGAGTCAAGGCCATGTTGTAGTAGTAGGTATTTATGGGCAAGTATACTTGTTGAAAAGTAATAAAAAAGTTCTAAAATAAGTTTCCAAAATATCGTCTTATAAGAACTTTTTCAAGTACTAAGAATATTTTAATTTAATTATTTAAACTAAAAGGATACGCAATGAAATAAAATAAAGAAGTATTTAGATCTAAAAGTAATTAAAAGGAAATAAAACAGCACAACTTATAACAATAAACTATTTGA